CAAGACTTGCTAACTGAGCCTGTGTTTAAGCTGTAAATACAACCCTATGGGAGGCTCCTTTTACAGCACAGCTTTTGGGGGCAGCTGACAGGCTTTGCAAATGGGGCTGAAGTGTTGTTGATTATTTGTGCTGCATCTCACCTTAGCCAAGGATTGCTTTAAACAACCCATCTGTGAAGCACTTTGGCTCCCACTGCACGGGGAGTTGGTCCAAACCACGGGGGAAATCTCCAGAAATAACTCTGCCTGGCAGAGCTGTCCCACCCCAAGGGGCCAAGAGCCAAGGTTTACCAGGATGTAAGCAGCCCCCAGCTAGATCACCTTGGTCAGAAGTACCACCAGTTTTTTTGTGGAGAAGAATGCTTTTATTACTTTGGAAGTAAAATAAGATGATGTGATGAAAGAACATGGGGAATAAAGTATGGGCTAAGGACTGATTTATATTGAGATAAAAGAGATACAAGAATTTCCTTCATTCTCTTTAGATTTGTGTCAAGTTAAACTATTTCTACCAGAGTCTTAATTTTTCTTCCAGGAGTCCTGTTAACATTCAACGTGAAATCTTCTAAAGGTCCTTCACAAAACCCTGGGTCAGAGGGTAAGGATTTTGGCCTGGGAAGCTAGGACTGCTGAAGAGAGAGTAAAGTGACCATGTATATATAGAAATTCTCTGCAGCACTCATTTCTTTTTCCTTGGAAAAAGCAAGAGACAGACCACATTTCTAGCTTACAAAACAGTTCAGATCTGAGTATTAACAGACATATTCAGAATTCCTTGCTTGATGGAAAACCTCATATTCCAAAATCCCTTAGTAGCAATTGATCAGTCTTTCCTCATGATGCTGAAGCAGTTCAAAAAGTGCTCATGATGTGTTTGAGCAAGCAGAACTGTTTTTTGCCAATGAAATGAAGTAACCCCCCCTTACAGAGGGTAAAGATGCTCTGTAAAGATCCCCAAGCAGGCAGAGTCTAGGAGGGTAAATGAAGTCCTCCTTGTGCTGGCAAAGTGTGGGGCCAGTATTTCTGCAATACTTGTATTTTAGAATGTGGACATGCAGAACCTCCTCCTCCTCCTTGGATTCTTGTTCATGTTAATCAGAATAAGCACAGGAAAGTTTTCACTTATATCAATGAAACAAAGAAAAAGGTCTCAGCTTTCTCAGGAAGTGCTGCTGGGATGAGCTGCCAAGGTCCAAGATCTCAGTCACTACAGAATAGTATTAAAAAAGAAGGCAAACCAGTAGCTTAGGGGGAGCACTAAATCAGTGATCATAAAAAATAGCCAGTAACAAAAAGACTAAGCTTGTGAAGCCAGAGACTCTGGACTCTGCTGGCTGAGAGTTACTTTGCCTGCAGAAATAGTGAATGAAGACACTTGAATAAAAACCAGAGAAATAAACCACATCCAAACTATCTCTTCACATGGTTGTGTATGTTAAGAACCACGTTTTATCTAAACATCCAGGTGTGAAATCCAGAAAGCTAGAAAATGTGTTGTACTGGTGTTGTTTATTTCCCTTGGGGTGAAGTCAGCAGCAATGAAATTTTTTTCCCCATTTAACAGTGTCTGATCTTCCCAGTGGTGGGAAGAGAAGGGCTGTAGTGGGGAGCTGAGTACATGTGCAAGAAGCATGGCAAAATCCTTGCATAATGACTCAAATGCCAACTGATGGTTGTGAAAGAATAAAGTATTTTTATTGCTTAATTTCTTATTTAGATTTTGCTTGCTCAAAGGCATAAGCAATGTCAGAAAAATCTCTCAGATTTTTCTCCCACTTAATCTTAACCCCATTATAGGAAATTCTCCAGTGTATCTCAGTTCACTCAGTGAAGCTCTTGGATAAATTATCCTGACTATTCAGTGCAAATCATATTTGATGAGAACTGCTCCCCAAGAGCAGAGTACAGACTCATGGCTGAGGACTTCAGAAGAGATTAAAGACTTTAAAAATCAGCTTAGATCATAAGTGTGATCCCTCAACTTTTAATCTCACCTCGTATTTCAGATTTTTTTAACTTTCAGAAATGAAAATCAAGACTGTATCTTTTCCCTACTCCGTGTCATTTTTGAGAAATACATTTTCCTAGTAATGTTTGTCATTTTCAGCTGTATGCATAAGTAGCACTTTAGAAGAGAAACAGCTCTTTTATTGCTTACTATGGACTTCCGTGAAATGTGCTCAGTGGATAATTGTAATTTCTGTTTTGAGTTGCAACAGACATTTGAAATTTTTTTTGAAAGCTATTTTTAAATCACATAGATCTTTATATTATGAAAGCACAAACCATCTTTTGGGTTGGAAAGAAAAGTATTGTTTACATTTCTTTATGAATACAGAAAGCTCAACCCATGTCCCTAACTCTTTGGCCATCTATCACTGCTTGCACAGACAGTTATGAACTGGTTTCTAAAAGGCTTCTATAATTTACCCTGTTGCTTGCTTCACTGCATAATATTTCTCCCACATTATATGAGGGATAGGATTTAAAAACAGTGAAATCTATAACTTTCAGAGAACTATGAAAAGCTAGACAAATTTTCTCTATCCTTCTGCTATCCTGTTGTCTAGTAACTACAATGTTCACATAGTAAATACATTTCAGTTAAGTTCCATGTTTTGCATGAATACTGCAACCCCAAAATGCTGTTCTCTTATTTCCTCTATGTTTTTATTACCTCAGGTGCTTAGACAGGGGTTGAAGTTTTAACATTCAAGCAAAACCTACAGAATGTGATCTGCTCCTCTGATGTCACTGGAATTGGAAATAGGATTAAGCTCCAATGTGTGTATTTAAGGAGCTGTTTTCCTCAGTGATGAAGTACAGAGCTAATGACTTTGTTGAAGGAGGCAAATATGCCTTCATGTTCTATGTTCTACCCAAATGTTGTTCTGTATTTGTTGCACTGGTGCTGTGACTCAGCTGCTTGTGTGATGCAAAGGACTCAAAACAGCTGCCAGCAATAATTCCCTACTCATAACACCTGGGCATATTGTACACTATTATTTGTCTACTATTATTTTTAATGACTGCATCTACTGGGGTTCAAATAAGTGCCAGTGCAAAGGAGAATAAAAAGCAAATCTGAATTGTGTTTCTTCAGCTGCTGTATTGGGTTTACATGGCAAGGTTTTGGTAGCAGGGGGCTGCAGGGGTGGCCTCCCTGAGAGGCTGCTCCTGTGTTGGACACAGCCAGGTCCAGCTGGCTGCAAAAGAGACCTGCTGAGCCCATGGCAGAGAGGCTGGTGGTACCTCTGTGATCACTAACTTGAGGAAGGGTAAAACTGCTGCACAGCAGCTCTGAGAGAAAAGAGTGGGAAAAAATTAAGAGAAACAACTTAGTATGGATCAGTGTCAGCAAGGAGGAAAGGGGAGTAGGTACTCCAGGCAGTGCAGCAGATATTCCCCTGCAGCCTGTAGGGGAGACCATGGTGAAGGAGCTTACCCATGGAGGACAATGCCTGAGCAGGTGGTGATTCCTGATGGGAACTGCAGCCTGTGGAGAGAGGCCCACACAGGAGAAGGTTTTCTAGCAGAAACTGTGGCCCTTGGGGGGGGGACCCACACTGAAACAGTCTGTTCCTGAAGGATTGCAGCCCATGGAATGACCCATGCTGGAGCAGTTGCTGAAGAACTGCAACCCCTGGGAGGGACTCCATGCTGGAGCAGGAGCAGTGCTCCTCACAGTGCAGCATGAGGAAGGAGCAGGCAGAGACAACGTGTGAAGATCTGACTGCAACCCCCATTCCCCATCTCCCTGTGCCACTGAAGGGGGAAGGAAGGAATGAAATTGAGCCTGGGAAGAAGGGGGGGAAAGTGAGGGAAAGGTGTTTTTAGTTTAGTCTTTGTTTCCTACTATGCAACTGTATTTTTAATTGGCAATAAAATAAATGAGTTTACCCCAAGTCAAATATGTTTTACCTGTGGTAGTTACTGGTAGGTGATCTCCCTGTCTTTTTCTCAACCCACGAGCTTTTCCATCATGTTTTCTCCAGCTGTCCTGTTGAGGAGGGAGAGGGAGTGCATCTTGGTGGGCATCTGGTGGGCAGCCACCATCAGCCCACCACAGCTGCTTTGTGGAGATTGAGCTAAATAAACAGGTTACCTTCACCCACTTCTGGCTCTGAATAATTACCTATCTTCCTGGGTACTAGGACCTCATTGGGATAGCTTTTGTCCTCTATTATATTGAACTATATGAATTTTGCAGTTCATGGTGTATGACAGACAAAAAGGTTTATCTTGAGAAAAAAAGTATCAGTGAATATCCAAGTGAAATGATGTCAGCTGTATTCATATCCCCTTTGTTCTGCTTTCTAGAAATATTCTAGCAAGCATAATCAAAGAAAATTATGAATAGGTGCTTTAAATTTCTGCTTAGTACCATTCAGAGCAATCTTTTTTCTTTCCTCCAAGAATACAAGTGTTTTCTCCAAAATATGATTCTTAGAAGTGATTCCTATCCAGGCAAGGAAGTAAAACACACCCTGTGACTTGTGTGCCTTCCCAAACCAATCCATACAGATTGGTTTTCAAGTGATGTATTGAATAACCCACTTGCTAATGTACTACTGATGGTTAAAAATTATTGCCAGACAGTATGTAATTTGGAATAATTTACTCAGCTCTAGATGTCTGTCTACCAGAGAATTTAATTGATTAGTTCAGGAATTTTTTTCAACTTCATTTTCACTGGAGCATCAGAGCTTTTTTGAATCTTGTGACCCAGGCATGTGTCACTTCAATTCACAGTGAAGAAAGTATGAAAACCTGCAGAATGTACCATGTGCAGTGCAGATGTTTTTCTTTCACCATGAATACTTCAAATGGTATTAAAATCAGTTGAAGTTGCAGCATTAGTGAACAACCAACATTGTTCTACTCATATCTTAACCTCTGTGCCATACCTGCTTGCTTCTACTCATTCCTGTTGGAGGCAGGCACAGTTTGTTACAAACACAGTATCTAAATGGCATGTACAGTTTGCCCATAGGGCCAGGTTGGGATCTATTTGCTAGATGTACAGTGTACATTTTAAGGCACACTATAGGGATTGAGTTTACATTTTGATAACTCTGTCCTTTTATTTGCAAAGATGGTCACTACTTGGAAATGTTGCAAAAAATAAACGTTCATCTCTAAGAGTGGCCAATGCATTTCTGCTGTAATTTTTATCTTTTTTTTCTCAAGAACAAATGTGTGAAAATGTGAACTTTAGGGCATTTTAAAAGTAAATGTCAACTACCGTGTTCCATTTTATATACATAGATATGTCTCTCTCTATATCTAAATATATAAAATGATTGTAGGAGCTCATACTATAAGCTTAGTTTTAGTACAGTACTTTAAGTATACTGGTATTTATTTTCAGTTACACTTCTGCACTGCTTCTTTCTAATGCAGAGCTTGATACGGACATCAGTTGATAATAGCAAACCAAAAAAATTCATCAGGAACATTATTGTCTTATCATGCAATGTAGTAGGCATCCTGTGGCACTATTCTCTTACCCAACCTATTTACAGTACTGCTGAGTACACGCTCAATAAATATTACAGTGTTTGTCTGAGTTGATTTTTTCATGGCACCCAGCAATTATTCAGGCTGTGAGTCCTGTCACACGTGAGTTTCAATGAATGAGTGTGTGTGTGTCAGCATTGGTGCTGAGCTGGCCAGTTCAGAGGCTCCATTTTGTGATTTCACAGCAGCACTGTACTCACAAATGTCCAGGAAAAACTCATAGTTCTTTAGTTTCCAATCTTTAAACTTCTTTGATGTTAAGTTGGGATCATCCAGAAGGCTGTTGATAACTCTGAGGTCCCCTTCCTTTGCCTGTCAAATTCCAGAAAGATACAGTACATGTCAAAATGGAACTTAGGCCACATTTTGCATTTCTGCACTTGATTTCTTCTTTCACTTTAATGCACAGTGCCAAGGAAACTATTAAGGCCACTTAGAATCATAGAATGGTGAAGGTTGAAGGGATCTTAAAGACCATTAGGTTCCAACCTCCCTGCTATGAGCAAGGACACCTCCCACCACACCAGGCTGCACAAGCCTCATTCAACCTGGCCTGGAACACCTCCAGGGTAGGGGCATCAAAAGCCTTCCTGGGCAACCTGTTCCAGTGCCTTCCTACCCTCATGGGGAAGAAGCTCTTCCTGATGTCTAACCTAAATCTCCCCTCTTTCAGTTTAAACCCATCACCCCTTGTCCTATCACTGCAATCTCTGGTGAAAAGCCCCTCCCCAGCTTTCCTGGAGTCCCTTCAGGCTCTGGAAAGTGTTCTAAGGTCTCCCCAGATCCTTATCTTTTCCAGGCTGAACACTCCAGCACGCTCACCTGCCTTCATAGCAGAGCTGTTCCAGAACACTTGAATCTTTTCCCTATATTCAGGAACTATTACAGCTTAAACTGCTTGATAACTCAGTCTGTGGCACTTTATACAACACATCAATAAGAAGTGTCAAATAATGTGTCAAATAATGTGTTTTATTTTAAATTTTCCTTAAGCTGGAACATGTTTTGCTTTCAAGTATTTTTTGTTTCTTTGGAACTTAAAGCTACAAAGAAAACCTCATCCGTAGAAAAGATGAAGAGATTATACTTTCCCTAGTTTATATTGCTTATACACAAAATTAATGAAAAAGCCTTACTTTTAAAGTGCTCTTGAGGACTCTGATGTGGTGAAGCTTTTCATTGATCACTGGATCATTACACCTCTTCACAAAAGACCTACGGAACTCCTGCTTGGTGGAAGGTCGCTGCTCTCCAAAAGCTGACAAACTAGCTTCTTCCAGAGATTTGTACAGCTCTTGCAGACCATCTATGTTTTCTTCAATTTCTTTTATGTTTTCTGAAAGAAAAGGGACAAAAAGACCTAACCAAAACAATCTATAAAACTCACATGAAGTCTCTAAAACCAGCAGGCCATTCTGCAAATTCCTGTACGAAGGAACCCAGTAACACAGTCTTCCACTTTTTGTTTTGATAAAATAAGAACTTTTTCATCAGCCCTAAAGCTATGTTCCTAGCACCACATCCAAGCATTTCAAGTACAAACTGCTGTGCAGTGAGACTGATGAATTTGGCAACACAGAACAATTCAACCACTGCAACCTTGCTGAGAATAATGGCAATACTGCTTTGGCTTTCAGTAGCAGTAGAGAAGACCACAGAATCACAGAATGGTTCTGGTTGGAAAAGAGCTTGAAGATCAGCGAGTCCAACCATCAGCCCAGCTCCACCAACCATCAGCCCAGCTCCACCAAATCCAGGGCTTAAACCATCTTCCTAAAAGATCAGAACTCCAGAATCTCACCTTCTGCACAGAAACTATTATGCCTTCTAATAGGAACTGTCTCTTCTAGGCTGTCATCTGTTCCTTCCAGGGACTTGACATGTCCCTTACCCCTGACATCTCTGTTTCTGGGAAGGCTTTGGCTGCGCTGCTTCTGAGGCCTGCTGTGGGAGCTGTGTCCCCGTGGACATTCCACCAGAGGGAAAGGCCCATCCTGCTCATAATTATGGCGTCTTTGTACTGGGAGCGTCGCTTGTCTCCGTTTGTCCGGTGACATTCCAGGCCGGCCACTCATGTACTCAGCATCAGGAGGAACAGTCTGAAGAAAATGGAGCCCTGAACTGGTCAGTGGAGTCTCTATCAGATCCTGCCAGGAGCGCCTTTCTCGGTAGGGGGGCCTGCATCCTGAGGAGTGTGTGCTTCCTGCTGCTTCCTGGCGGGAATCCTCGGCAGAAGACTGAGAGTAGGTGGATTCACTTGAGAAGTGCCGACCGTGTTGGGCTTCAGGGAATGGACTTGAGGAATTCACCTGAGAAGATACAAAAGCACCTGACTATCAGAGGAGGTTGTGAACAGACCCGAGAAAGCGAGGGTAGTGTAGGACATTGTATGGTCTGCACTGACACGATGGGCTGATGTGTTTCGGTATGTCGCGACATGAACCTGCCAACAGAACAGATCTAGCAGTGAGTCCTTTTATGCAAGTGCTGTTTTAACCACTCCCTATTCTTGTTTTCCACATTCTCTGCCCATGGGCAGCTCCTGCTGGAAAGAGCAGTGTCACACTGGCACGGGTTTGCTGTCCAGCTCATACTCAGTCCAGCAGTGTGCTGTGAAGACATGGAAGTCCCCAAAAGAAACCACAAATGGATTTCCTTCCTTCCTTTTTGGTTATTTTTTAAGGGATAAGTATCCAGCCAAACAGAAATTAAAACCATCAGCACCCAGGAAGATTTTTTGAATTTGGGGGGACTGCTGAACTTCTCAAATTATTTAATTCTGCTGGGTCTGTGTATAGTTTTAATTCAAACACAAAAATAAAGGCAAAAAAAGTGAAAAGACAGAAAGGGAGAGGCTTAACCTGTATCCCAGTTGATAAAACAGCATCACATGGGTGAAAATCAGTCTGAACTTCACCCATGTGATGCTGTTGTTTCAGTCAGTCTTTGGTTCTGGCTGCGTGAGGATCATGTCAGTCACGCTGAAGAAAAATCTGAAAGAAAAATAGAAAACAGTCCTATCTGTGCCTAGAAACATAGAATAATTATCACAGCCTGTTCATGCTCCTTAGAGTAGAAATGTTCTTATTTGTTACTAAAGCCTCTTCCTCGACAAAATGTTGGGGTTTCTTTTCCCCTCAGTTATCAAAACCAGTCTGTACACAATGTGTTAGAAGTATTTTTATGACACTAACAGAAGATCCTGTCACTACTCTGGGATTGCACACAATGCTTCATATTGTAAAAAACAAAACAAACCCTTACCTCTAAAGATATGTTTTTAAAACAAAGTCTTGGTACTAAAACTTTATTACTGGTGTAAAGTCAACATTGGAATAATCTATTCACATTATTAGGTGTAGAATCCCAAATCCTACAAAAAACATCCTACCTGCAGTCTGGTGACATATCTGTGTAAGGAGACATTTCCCTCTCCTCCCTTTGTCATTCACCTGCTGCAGAAGGATTCAGGTCTCAGCTCATGAGGAACAGCAATAGTTCCATTCTTACATTGAGATCTGGCTTTGTTCTGCCTTTATGATAATTAAATATTCCAAAACAAAGGAAATGCAAATCCAGGCACAGATGTATTTCCTGGGGACCTAGTGTCAAATGCAGTACTCATAACTCACTGAGGGTGTTCGATGGTAGGTGTCACACAGTGCTGAAGAGCCTTCCTGCTTCAGGGTTAAGGAGCCATCCATGTCATCCTGGTCGCTCTCACTCCAGTAATCTGCTAACAAAGCATTCCAGGTTTCACTCGTGGGCTTTTCCACAGGAAAGCAGGTCCCACATTTTCAAAATACCAGGTAAACTTTTCAGTCACTAAGGAACAGACTTGTGACAATGTCTGGTTTCTAAGGGACACAGACGTGGAAGAACCTTCACGTATTTTCAGATAGCAGGTGAGAGACCTGGCTCCCACTGTACATCAAAACCAGGTTCTGGTCACAGACTTTCAAAGAGAAACTTAGTTCTACTTTGGCATGTAGAGTGAAGTCTCAACAACTAATTTAGTTACCTTAGTATAACTGGTTCCACCCATGAGAGATAGGGGACAAGGCAAGACTGGCACGGGAGCTCAGGAGATGCAAAAACAGTTCTAAAGCACAGATGGGCCTGAGTTTGTGATGTCCTCCCTTGCTCAAGGGTGATGGCCATACCCAATGGCTGCCATCTGGAGGATCATACCTCACCCTGAACTCTGCCTTCACTTTGTTGTTTGTTTTAAATGTTCCTTAAATTATTACTTCAGGATTATTATTGGCACCTGTATAGTTCTTCAAGGATATGGATACTGATAAAATTACTATTTGTGAAATATATGGCACATATGTTAACAAAGAAGTCAGTTATGACATCTCCAACTTTAAATAATAAGCAGTTATTTATTCTCTGCTCTCTTCTCTGAATTGCCATCTCTGAAGCATTACCTTCATCTGGGTGAATGTCCTTGTCATCAGGTGTGTAGCCAATCGCTGCGAGACCCAAACGATTCATCCATCTAAGGCAACAATAAAACATGAGGAAGAGAGACACTTAAAAAGACATCTAGGATCAGTGCGAGGGCATCCACATGCTAAACATTTGGAAAAGTCAGAGACAAGCTGAGTCCAAAAACTAAGCACTGCTCAGGCTGTTAAAATCAGGATCCAGATGCATGCAGTGGTTAACAAACTCAGGCGAAGGATGTTCCAGGTCATGTACAATGCATGTCTGGGCTGCTGTGCACATCTGCTGGAGGACGTTTGCTTTGTGGCATTGGATTCTGCTCTCTAGGAAACTGAGGAATCATCACATTGATCTTCCATATGTCATAAAAAGAACATGAAGCACACATATACTGAGCTTAGCAATGACTAAACAAAGATTTTAGGATGCCCTGGGTAGAACAGAAAGTGTCCATCTCTGTCTCCACTCAAAGCAGAATCAAATCCTCCCTAAGCTGCATCTGCAAACTGTATGAAATGGTTTCCAGAGACACAGCCTAAAGGAGCACGTTGCATTTATTCTGAGTGCTACTGTTATTAATTTCAAGGACCTGCCTGAATTTTCCAAATGCTATAAACCAAAAGAGCTTATAATAATTGTATGAAAATCTGTAGAAGAAATGTCCTACCAGTTGTATTAAATTTGTACACTCAGAAAGCTAAATCAGACTGTGAGAGTATTCCACTGGCTATTTCTAGTCTAGATTCATGATTCTGGTGGTATAAATGATTAGGTTTGTTGAGCTGTGATATTCACATTATTTCCCCTTCATTTATTTTTTTTTTTTTTCATAGAATCGCAGTTTACTAATATTTGTGTTTTATATTGGGTGTCCTGGTTTCTTTGTCCCAAAATAAATTAGTTTGGTCAAGAATAAGATTCTTTGCTTCAAAAAGAAAATACTAGAGCTTATATTGGGGAAAATACCTTTAGAGTTTTCTTTATATAAGATTACAGGAGGTTTATACAAAATAGAATCAAAAGATGGGGAAAAAAGGAAATTACACATAGAGAGGAAAGTCACTTCTGAATGTTCAGCAAACAAAACTCAGGAATCAGCTTATTTTCATCAACACAGAAACATAACCAAAAGAGAAAAGCCCTGTTAATAGACATCTGCAGTGACTGGGATGCATTCCTAAGCATTCTCTTGCTCAGTGACTGAATTATTTTCTATGTCATTAATTTCCTAGTGTATTGCATGTCAGTGTTTTCTAGAAGCAGCTCCTTTTCCTTTTTTAACATTGCAACATAAAGCTTAATAATTGTTCTTGGTTAATGAATCATATAATGAGAAAAGCATCTTTCAAAGACTTCAAGAAAGACGTAAGTAAACAATTTAGATACTATGTCAGAAGGACAAGGTTTTTTGCAGACTAATCCAAGAAAAAAACCTATTCCATGTACTTTTTACTCATACTAGAACAGAAAAAAGCTTCTGAGGACATCTGTGGATGTGTTACTGGTCAATAGCAGGGTGTTGGGAAGATGGCATGCAGAGCAAGGAGGCAGCAAGTGAAGAAGGAGAGAACTCTCCACTAAAAATAGCCCAGAGCTCAGTAGCTATTGATCCAGTGTAAGCATCGTGCTGTGGCTACACAGCAGTGACCTGAACCTGTGACACTGGATGTACCGCTGGCTCACTGGACAGGCTGCAGCAAACCCTTCTGCCTGTCTTAGGGCTTTCCTAAGTCTCCCAAGGGGACAACTACATTTACTTCTTACAGGTAATTATGACAGGGTTTAATTTACCTGCAAAGCTATGAAAATAGAACGAGTTGGATGGTAATATTGCTTTGCCTTTCAGTATTCAAAAAGAAGGAAATTGTAAATATAAATGAAGATTAGCTTTCACAAATGTCAGCTGCAGGGTTCAGAGACATTGTTTGCATCACTGTGTTGAGAACTCATCTTTATCATGAGGGAACTGAAATTCAGGTGGATTTACAGGCTTGCTGACAATTCAGTCAAGACCTGGCATGCTGATCACTTGACATTCACTTTTCTCAAAAGGTGTATTTGTTATTGCAGTTACTGAAATTACATCAAACCCTTGTTTGTATTCACTGTTGGCTTTTTTTCAGTAGTTCCTGAATTTCTAAACTCACTAGCACCAGAGTAAAATAGCTTTAGTCATTCTTTACCATAAGCCTTTGGCAATTAAGCAGAATGCCTCAACAGCTTCAACTCAGGTTCTGCTCAAGCACCAGTGAGAAATTAGGATTCATTACCATTTTCAAAGTTAAACCAGACTCAGCTGTTTTGTTGGTCAGTGCACAGAAATTTGTATTGGTTTAAGTGTCTTGCCAAATGTATCTTGTTGCTCCTTGTTAATTTCAGGGTTTCAAATCTTGGGAGCATATACAGATAACAGCAAAGTGTTAATATTACCTTTAAAGAGAACATGGATATTCTTAGTGTACACAGAGTATCAGTGTTACTCATATGGCCTCAACGTCCACACCTGGAATTAGCAGAAGGAAATGAATCTTCCTTCTCTAAGACTGCTCAGATTTTTTTCTCTTCAAAAGGGCAAGAATATCCCCAGCTATAGTTACACAAGTACTTTCTTACCTCATCTGCCACAATTTAGAGTCACCTCTTTGTCAAGACAACATGTGCTATCTGGTGACATTCAGAGGCTTATAATGATTAAAAGCCCTTCTGAGAAAAGAAAAATAATTTCAGTTGTAGGCTTTGCAATTTTTAAAAAGCATAAATTAATGTTTTTGAAATTATTCAGGAGTTACAGAAGTGCTGAGATTACAGATCCTTGTCTTACAGTTAACATTTTATTTTTTTCCCAAGGAAAATGTGAACTCGGTTCAAAAGGAACATTGTGTAAACTTGAGTAATTTACTTGATGAACACACCACTTTTGTCATTAAGAAACCAGGCAGTCAAGGTTATAAAAAGTGGAAAGCTTGGAAACTCAGCCATTTGTTTCTGATCCTTGCAGTGACTGCCTGGTGGGCACATGTCAGGTTGCAGGAAGGCAACGAGAGCGTGTGTCAGGATCAGACTCTCCAAGGGATGATGGTCTGGCTACTGAAGGTCAGGCAGTGCAACATGACATGCTACACCTTACCAGCAGCCAGAGGGACAAAACCCCAGGAGGTCATTTGTCTAATTTGGTTTTTATAGCTGTTCCCATAATAGCAATTTGAGTCTCATGTGATTCACAAAAAGACAGGAGATATCCTGGCAGGTACATGGGTGGCAATCTTAGACATCTCCATATACCTCGGCCCCCTGAGGCAGAAAGTTGGGCTCCTTTTCCTCCCCCAAGCCCTACCTTTTTTCTTTAATAATTTCAACAGCTCTTTTCTTTTGAGAATTAAACAACATTTCACAAAGTTTGAGTCTAGGCCACTCAACAAACCACAGGGTTTGCAGTCTAGATAGAAATCAGCTGTGAGGCACATGGAGCAGCACTAAATGTCCTGAGGATACTTGGCTGCAACATTTTACCTTCAATATTGTACAGCATCTCCATGAAATACAATATCCATCTCACTGAGGGGCACTGTAACAGGTTACAAGGAACCAAGAAGTGTATTAATTATTTTTTATTGCCTGTCCCTCAAGTCAAGACATCTAAACACATAAGTAAGTTTGGCACTTTGTCTCAATGGTTTAAATTCTAAATAAATCAGACTTGACTTTAATTAATTCTGTTGATCACAAACAGGCACTGTTGTCATTGCTTCAGGATAAAATAGAGCTGCATAGAAGGAAGTTCAGTTAAATTTACTGAGATAATTCTGGCTAGTAGCAGGGGATTACAGCCCAGGACCTCTCCTGAGAGCCTGATTCTACCCCCAGGCCTGGAAAGTGATGATTGCAAAGGTACTGAGGGCAGTGATGAACTCAGCAGTTGTGACAATAATTAACATGTGATCCTGAAGAGCGAGTCATGCTGGAAATGCCCTGAACTCTCAGGATTTGGGGGCACATTCTCTTACTGATCGTTCAACAAAAACATGGGAGAAATGTTACAGGGGACCAAACAACAGGGGAAACTGTTTCATCTAACCTAACCCACTATATTAAAAACAAGAACGTGCCATTAGTGACTAAGTTCCTGTTTGCTGACTGTCAGAGTTGACTCCTGCCAAGCGTGGTGATGAGCCAGCCCAAGGTCAGGGTGAGGTTCTGGAGTCGAAGGTGACAATAGCTCTCGTGGTAGCACCACACTTCACCCACTTGGCTGGTCCTTTCTGCAGCCCAGAGTATAATAGGAAGAGAGAATAAAACCAAAACAACCTGGAAAATCTCAGTTGTAACATTTGAGAGAACTATAACCTTTAGTGTAGGAAAATAAAAGCCAAAAGCAGGATGGTAACCATTTAAAAATAATAATAAAAAATGTGCAAGGCTGTTATTGTTAGGGTTACAGATCAAATAATTCCATAAATCCACTGAGAACAGATCAGGGAGTAGGGAGTTTCTGTGACTCAAGTAAGATTTATTTGCTAATATCCTAAAAGCTGGATTCACTTTTTGCATATACAAGTTGGCTGGTATGTAGAAGAAACTCTCTAATTCAACCTGGCATTCAAACCAGGACAAGGTGAAAAAGTAAATAATGGATATAGCCTGAAAAGGTCTAAATTCAAGAGTCTATCCACTTCCACTAGTTCTTTATTTTGAATATTCCCTTAAAAAATTAAACCAATAGAACAACAAGGCATTAAAGGGTGGAATAAATAAATAGGTTTATATTTCTGATCTTCATTGCATCTATTCATCAATTAATAACTGAACTTGTATGTCTTCTCAGGTTTGTATTATAAATGTTTCACAGCA